TCGCGCACATTATTCGTTTACATGAAGTTATTGAGGTGAAACAAGGATGGAAGGTGTTATTAGAAAGGACGGACGTGAAGAATCCTGCTAGCGATAAGAATTGAGTACTGGACAGTCCTTTTATCCGATTGGTTAATTTAATAAAGTGCGAATTGGTGTAATATACAAGGTCTACCCAAAAAGTAACTAATCCATTTTCGAGAATTTAAATAATCTTTGATTAAATTTAATAAATAATAATAAAGACGTTTACACAAAACTGCATAGTTAACAAAATAGCAAATGTTTAGTTTATATTTATATTACATTAAGTAATAAACATACAAATTATGAATCCAAAAGATAAATTGTTTCAGTTTTCAAATAATTTTAACAAGACTATTCAAGCTCATAACGCTTTTGTTGAAGAAAGTTTAATTCATTATGCAACAACGATTATTATTATTTTAGGTATTGTTATTAACTAACTGTAGTTGTTGTCATGCTGTACGAAAGACATTTCCTCCTCTATTTAAATAATCAAATACTGCAGGTCTATTATGAAAGTACGTAAATTGTTATTGTATATACCTACTACTATTATTATTATTATTAAGTAAAAGTTGCGCTACAATAACAATAACAACAACAACAATATTTTGGTTTATTTATTTTCTCCGTTTACCTGGACAACACAAAAGGTTTGCTGACTATCCAATTAATATTTGACCAACTTTGGGTCAGTAATTAAATCAGGCACTCAAGAGTAGGTCACGATCTTTTTAAATAAATAATTACACCCAAAAGGTGAATCCAAATGCGTTCAACAGTGGCGTATCTTGAAATTAAACCATCACAATACCTCGACACTTTTGGTCTAAATTAGATTCTGGGAATGTCGAAAAACTAGTTCAACTATTTCCAGAATCTAACTAATAACCAGAAGATGATGTGAAACATATGACTTCACCTTTGCAAACTTTCCTTTTGTTTTATTTTACTTTAAACGAAACTACGTCACTGGTTAAGGCTTATTCTTATCGTGGGTAAATTAAAAACTTGAATGAAAGCACACACACAAAGTCTAATAATGGTAAAGTAGTGTGTGACTAAAGGAATGCCATATTACAATGACCAGCTTGGATCTTAATTTCTCGCACTTATAATTATGTAATACAGAGCCCAGAGCCAACTCTCACTCTCACTTCTCTCTAGCTATAAGTATGCATTCACAAAGAACTTTCGCAAACACCTGGAAATCCCGGCATTTCTTAATCTTACCTCCCAAAAAATGCTTAATAATAATAACAATAAAGCCAGTTTTATAACGCATAAAGCATAAATCTCTCGAAGACCATCGCAACGACTTAATCACTTTAGTTATTCCTTATTTGTACGCCACATAAGTCTAACACATTAAGTTTATTGTATTTATAGTGATTTTATGTTATAAGTTATCGTTTATTAGCATGCAGGTGAGTTATTTTAATTATTTTTTATACAACAACCTCCATAAATATTATAACTCTTTTTATTTTTACCAAATTTCGAGTTTACGTTACCTTGTACTTAATGAGTTATCAATTTTTTAATTCCTCATCACTGAATATTCTACATATGTACTTTACAAAAAATAACCCCAACTGCTCTAAAATGACTTAAAAACTTTCCCTTTCTTGTAAATTAGCATCATGATATTCATTGCTTTCAGTTCAAATTTGGAATAATTTTACTTCTTGGAATAATATTTACCTCCACAATCTTGTGTGACGAGGAAGATTCGGGTCCTGAAGAAAGAAAATTCCACAAGAAGAAGAAGCCTCAGATGCAATCGCCCTGTCATAGGTCCAATGATCTAGAAGGAAGGTTCTTTGATAATTCATACCATGTTAATTACTATGGAAATCCATACCCATGTGGAGGTCCTTCATTAGGACATAATAAACCTCACAAACCCTTTGGAGGACACGGACATGGACATGGAGGACACGGACATGGAGGACACCACGGCGGACATGGTGGTCATTTTGGTGGTCATGGGGGTGGATTATTTGGAGGGAATGGTGGTGGATTTGGAGGGTATAAACCAGGTGGTAAATATCATAATTAATTAACCAAAAAAGACGATACATTTAAAAAAATTGATATTTTTTTTTTCAGGTGGCTACTTTGATGTTTTTGGTGGTAATTTCAAGCCGAATAAAATAATTAAGGACGTGAATAAATTGATATTCAGACCTTTGTATCATCTTTTATAATTATGTAGTTTGTNTCCTTAAAATTACAGATTTAATACATAAATATTGAGAAAATCAGAAGAAATTTATTTGCAAAGCAAAGCGAGCTTAATTTTTGTCCCCTAATATCTGTTCTTTTACGACAAACAAATGAGTCAATAAATTTAATGAGTTCAATTTTTATTCCTTAAGTATGACATCCGTAGAAGAATATGGGATAGATGGATCAAGTCAGCAGGTGGGAGAGGTGCAAGGTTACGGTCAGTATACCTGCCAGGTATATAAAAGATATATTTGTAGGGGGCCGCACTTTGTGCGTGTTATAGTTAGTTATTAGACAAAGACAAAAAAGGTGGTACAATGTTTGATAATAAAATTCTGGTAAGTACATGCTTAGGCACTCAAATATTAAATAAAAAATGATAAATAAATTCATTTAAATTGCAAATTTGCAAAAAAAATTGGATTAAAAATGATTCCAAACTGAAATGTTTTTTTATCTTTTCGATTATAGTAATTGCTGTTGTATGCATATAAATAATTTCATAATTAAGTAGAATTCGAAGTAAATTGGATCGAATTAGTTACGGAAGTGTTCGTACCTAAAAGTATTGTTTATAAAATGAATAAAAAAAATATTGTCATGTCTCAAACTTTTTAAACAGCAACATTATCTTCAGGTGATGATACTAAACTATTAGTTACAATTAAGATGTTTCAAAAATTATGAATCTTAAAAATTTATAGTATTATTTTTCAACATCATCATTCATTTCCAATCAATACAAGGCAAAGTACGACTTGCCACTTAATTTAAGTCAGTGGTGCGCCCTGCAAAAATAATGTAACTATACGCATAATTAAGTATGTACATGACTAATAACCGATTGATGTAAGAAACACTACTTATTACCTGGTCTAATTTTGCAGAAGAAATTATCCATAATTTACGATATTTCCGAGTACAAGTTGAAATAATTACTTCTATTTTTAAAATGTGTGTACAATTTCAAGGTGTTTACATGATGCACAATTACACTGCCTCGTTTTCATACGCATAAATTAAACAACTATGTACATCATAAACGATTTTTCTCACGGACCAATATTTATAGCAACTAAAGTCCAGTTCATGACAAAACTTAATTAAACAGTAAAAACTTACTACCTCGGTACCTTTACTCAATGTGATTCACAAGCTCGAAGCAGTAATTTCTTAATTTATGATAATTAAGTTATTGTTTCCGAGATGTTTAGGAAATATGATGTGCAAGGGTGGTGGATAGATATAGAGTTAAAGCTAACGTAAAAATTATGGAAAATCATATATTAAGTTAGGATGGAATAAGGGGGTAGATACTTAGATGTAAGAAAGAATAACGCAGGGTCCAGACGTTTTTGATAATAAACAGAAATCACTTCTGAGTTTGTGAACAGTAAATTTTGAAATCCCAGAAAGATTGTTGAAAGTGAATATTTGGAGCACTGCTTTGTAAATCAAATACAAAAAATTAGAAGCGTTTTACATGTGGTGTCATATTGCGAACGATCATGGATAAAAAAGGAAGCAATTGCAAATGTGAGAAGAAGGTACTATGGAAGTCAATAATGGAAATGGGTAAAGGAATGGTAAGACATCTTGCGAGACATGAATAGCTGATAAGAGACGTTTTGGAAGTTGAATCAGGAAGCGCAGAAGAAAAGCCAGTTTAGATTAGATACCGTCACAAATAGCTGAGAATGCTCTAGTTTTTGGGAAATGGGAAGATCGCCTCAGGATGTAGGAAGAAGTCTTCGGGACAATCAATCTTGTGATAATGATGATAAAATGTTTAGTTTAATTAATAATAAACTATCAACGGTGCAGTTATTTAGAAACATCGCAATTATACTAAAAAAGCAGCGAAATAATGTTCATAATTTATTACAGATTCCACATACATATGATTAGGGTATTACCCTACTCTCAAAAGTACACTGGTACTGAGAATTGGCTAATACCTGAAGCATTTATAAGGATGTCGAGTCTGTTATAAAGTTCGTTTAGTTTAAGAATATTTTGAATTGCATAACATAAAACAAAATAGCACACGATCTTCAAAGATAAGTGGGGTTAAGTATTGGCATGGGTGTTATTTTAACCTGTTCTTTGAAGCCTATATACCTACATAATTGTCAAAGACATCATTCTAATTATTTTTTGAAATTTGGATAACTAATTATCTGACTGACCTCATAGATATTTTGACCTTCACAAAACAAGGAGAAAATTTGTTGAGAAACGTACAGACTGATTGACAATCGAAGTGTTGCCCATTTTGTCCACGTGGAATTGAATTAAGTATATCGCAAACCCCATTTTATATAATTAGGGATGGTATTTTGAAAACAATCACTAACACTTTATCCATTGTTCTCATTATAACTTAATAATTTCGATTTTTATATCTAATTCACTACCGCGTCCTTTTAGTTTTACTTTGAACAGAAAGAAACAACAATGTCGTCTCGAACTTCCGCCATTATTGTTCTAAACCTTATTAAATGGATTATAAAAATTAAAACGACATTTGTTTCTGCTGCCGCTTTAATGATTCCCTTCCGATTCAATTAACACACCGTTTAATTGAAGGTGTCTTGCCTTTAATGCGATTTCTCGATTTTGTGATATCCTGTTGTCACTGACTTAACTCAGCGCTTTGTAAAGAAATTGAAACAGAAAAATAAACGAACACGGAAAAATTGCGAAACAGTTGCGCCATTTGTCATCGTCGTCTCATCAAAATATACAACTACTGTTTTAGGTCAAGGTAGGACATGAAAAAAAGCACAAAAGTGCGCTTTTCGTCTTTGTCAGTTTCAGTAATGGAAACATTGCATCATTATAACGTAAACTATTTTACAATGGACAATGAGTTGCCAATTGCATTATAAATATTCTAACAAAAATTAAAACTACCAATTGCACTAACAGTTTTCTCTAGTGCCTTCTTTACCAGTTTTTCTTCAACTATGTGGAAGTCTTAGAAACAGACGTTACCAAAAAATGGTAAAATCGACTAGGCACTTTCTTCCTAAAATAATACGTCATAAAAACATGAAATTTAGAAGAAACATGCTTAACTTATCATGCAGGAAAGCTTTTCTAGAATTCAACCCGTAAAAAGGTGAAATTGAGGTTCAAATTCTTTACATATAAAGGATGAACAAGATGGCGGACTTTATATTTCTTATTGTGTGATCAATGAAAACAAAATAAAGGCACATGTAATTCATTTGATAAAGGCAAAATTTTAAGCTAGAAGTGTCTTCTTTTTGGACTACACATATCCATGAGATTTACTGATGGGATAACAAACTTTCGTAGAATTTAAATTAAACTTTTATTGCTTTCTTTGAAAGTTTTTAAGCAATTAGCATATTTTTTCTTTTAATATACCTGTAGTATACCTGTAAATAATAACTTGGTTCCTTATAAGTACCAATAATGACAAAGCAGAGCTTATTGTGTTGTTATAAATACTACCATATTATTATTCACGCTCGGCTTGTAGCAAGGCTACATTTTAATCTGAATATCACGTAAAATAACGCTCGCCGCATGTGTTATTTTATTAGCCACACTTTTGAAATACATGTACGTACATACAAAATGTATAAAAAAAATATACGTTCTACGGAAATTTTGACCCCATTAGTATTAGAAGCACCTGATATTAACCTTGCTTTTAACCACAACTTATGTTAAAAAATAAGAATCGTGAAAATTTAATGACATAATCACTGTCCACTATTGCCTAATTTCTAAACAAAACAAAAACAACAAAGCCGATAATATAAGTCTAATTAATTAATGTGAAAATGGTTTGCTGAAAGTATAGAGAAATAGAAATCGACATTTTGGATTACATCTCTACATCACCAAGTACCTACTGCAGAAAACAAAATTACCTAAATATCAGACAAGCATTTCAAAAAATCATTTTCCTTAATTGTAGCGTAGCATGGACCTCTTTAGTTTCAGGAACAAGAAAAAGTCACAGGGGGTCAGATCTGGAGAATACGGTGGCTACAGTATATTAATAGTGTATTGTTTTTGGCCAAAAATTGGTAACGATGAGTGAGCAAGGGCGTTATCATGGCACAAAAGCCAATTTGCAGCTAATATTCCTTATTGACCATTCTACCCTTCTGCAGGAACTCATGATGCATCTTGCCCCTGCAATCGAAGAAAGCTGTAAGCTTCACATTCGACTTAACTTGCCGCACTTTTTTCGGTCTTGATTCGTGCGGCAGCTTCCGTTGGAATGATTTAGTTTTGGTTTCCACATTATAACCATAATGCCATGATTCGTCACCAGTTACGACCCTCTGGAGCAAATTTGGGTTGTCACGGACAACAGCTCCTTAGCAATGTTAATGCGATGCTGTTTTTGGTCAAAATTGAGCAATTTTGGTACGAATTTCGTGGCGACCTGTCTCATGCCCAAATCATTGGTAAAAATCGAATGGCAGGAGTCAATCGATATGTTTAGGTTCTCAGCAACTACTCTAACGGCAATTCGACGATTGGCCAATACTATTTTCTTCATTTCATCAATGTTTTCGTCTGTTGTTGATATGCTCGGACGTACGGCACGCTCATCCTCGTTCACATCCTACCATCGATAAACGTGCCCGCGCATTAATTTTGTTTTTTACACAAAATTTCATACAGATTCTTAGATCCATTTTTGAACATTCAACATGACCAAATTCGGTATAAGTGAGAGACATGAGTATCAACGTAGCGCCACAAAAAAATTGAAAATCGAACTTATGTAACCCGCGGAAATTCAAAATGGAATTTGAAAAATGAATCATTACTTTCTTTTACAGATTCTGTTGGGAGTACTGGTGCCATCGTTAGTTCTGGCTGGCCCAGCTCCAGCTCCAATTGCTTCACCAACACCTGTAGCTTCCCCTGTGCCTTCACCCAAACCATTCGGCTTTTTCGGTGACCTATTCGGAAGCTCGATACCCAGTTACAGTTCCAGTTATGGTTACCTTTATGGAAGACCTGCTACCAGCTACAACTACTACGACTCAGACTATCCCAGTTATACCACATACCGTGGTAATGGCTACAGAACAACCAGACCTTATTACGGTTCCAGTTACGGAGGCAGGGGGTACATAAATCAGCTGGGGTGGGGTGACTATGGTTCTTACGGTACCACTGGAGGAGTAGGGAACGAATATGGATCTTCTTATCCTGGAGGCACTTATAGGAACACGTACGGAAGTGGATATGGTGGAGGGTATGATAGGGGGTACGGTTATGGCAATGGGTATGGATATGGTGGTGGTTACAGTGGGGGAGTTGGAGTGGGAGTCGGGGTGGGATATCGGGGATCTCCAGGATACTCAAGAAATGGTGGGACATACGGTTATTCGGGAACATCGTATACGAATGGACCCACGTATAGTAGCAGATATACTCCATAAAGATTTTTATATTTTATACATAAGTAGGTTAGAATAATAAATAATTAATTGTTAATTTTGATCTTGATAGTATTTTAGTATTAGATATTATGTAAAGGTGTGTTTAGTTTTAAATTTCCTACCTACCTGCTGTAAAAATGAATTCGAAATTTTCTGTACATAATCAACATTAGAAGTATGTATGTAGAAAGAGGAAAGAAGTCCAAATACGTAGAATAAAACTTACTTTTACCATTAACGTTATCTATTACAACTGTTTTAACTCCTCTAGAGCTAATTCATATAATATATTTTTAAATAATAAGAAAAAAATCGTAAGAAATAAAATTATGTTTAAAAATAGATGTAGGTGAAAGCCTGAAGACTAAAAGATATTGTGCCCTGCTAATACCTATTAGATATATCAAAAAGTCTTAAATAACGATTTCAAGAACTTTACTTTATGTAAAGAAACTATGTATTCCATTTGTTCCCCTTATCTCAATATGTAAATGACCAAAACCAAAATGAGAACTAAATATTCTTTCGAAATAAAAAGATCGATAATAATTATTTTAAATCAATAAAATTATTTGCAACCTTGTATTGGCTCTGATCTTTTCTCTGAAAAAATTATTTTGGTAACAGCGTCATGTCCTTTTTTCAAGGTAAAACGGGTACCAAAGGCAAATAAGGAACCAGATACAGGAATTGTTCGTTGGTGATCAGAGAAAACTAACATAAAGTCTTAAAAACTATATCTCAATCACTTCAAACAGAAAAATGAAATGAAAAAATGAACCTTACTGGTGGATATTTCTAGAAGCCGGTGATATTTTCAAGATGATACCAATTCAAAGTTAAACAAATACTCAACAATAAAAAACATATTTTATACCTGCGTGAATAAATTAAGAAAATTAAATAAGTAGGTACTATGAAAGGTAATACTTATTTAAAGAAAATATTTTAAAGATACGTATTTAGCATTTAGCATTTAAAATATACAAAAACTGTTTTGTATGCAGTTGAAATAGCAAATCAAATAACTATTTGTAATTTAAATACTTTTAACAAAATGATAATGATTATTATAATTCAAAACGATAGCTATCTACATTTAATTCGAAATTTTTAGCGTAGCTTCAAAAGTCATTTTCGAAAAGCCTGCTTATA